TTTGTGTCGAATGGACGTTAAACCCCATTTCCCTCTCCCCATAACCCTATAACAAAATAGGGGTCGATGTGGAAGGGGGTGGGGGGGAGGGGGTGACGAGACGTGATTTCCATCCATCAACAGGTCGACCTGACGGATGGCTTGATGTTTATCAAGTTGTCAATATGGCTTCATATCGTAAACATGAAAACATGGTAGGTCGTAATGTATTCCATTTCTTAAAAACAACACATCTCTTGTATGTCTGATGTCGAACTCGACACCTCCAGATTGACATATAGTGATATAAACATAAAATAAACAAGCGTACTGCCAGGCTCCTGGCCGGACCTGTCCACAGTTTTCCTAGAATCTGACATGTATTAACCATATAATGTGTCCACCAGATATAAATGGACTTTTATTATGATAATTGGATTGTCTGCGATATCACTTATGTGGAAGCAGACGTTAAACACCAAGAACTACTACTACTACTACATGATAATTGGACGTACACACCATGGACAATAGGGTAATAAAACAGAAGTTATGATTTGGTGAGCTCTCTACGTGATTTTATAGGTACGTTAACCGAGATATCGATCACGATTTGGGTAATCTCACAAGTGACTATATCGATCTTGGGTTTTTATTGATTTTGTAATGAAAGCCTGGCTACTATTTTAATTAAATCTTGTAGTAAATCAATCAGGATTATTGATTATTGATCTGTGACAATACATTCTAGCAAAATAGATCATGTTCTAATATGGTTGATATTAAATGTTTCTATATATGTTACAAACAAGGTGGTCGTAAACTATTTGTACACTTTCCCAGTCATGTCCATTGATGTACTATTTGGCTCCCGCGGTGCTTGAGTCAAATGGTGCTCAGGAATCTCTCTCTCTCCCTCTCTAGTGGTTTAATGCGTGCGCGCCAAATCACAAGGTCTGACATTGAGTCAAATGGCGTGGTTTCATTTCCACGCTTGAATGTGGCAATGATTATGGTCCCCAGTCCCATCTCGTTGGTTTTCTCCGGGTACTCCGATTTTCTCCCACTGCTAAAGATCTTTACGAGCAAGCAAATTATTGAATTACAATCGAACCAATTGTTAGTTAAGAAAGAAATGACCTAGTGGACATTAACCACCCTCTCTCTCCCTCTCTCTCTCTCTCTCTCTCTCTCCAATTCAGATATCAGATACACAAACGGTTGTATATTCGAGCTACACCCATTAATATCGGTCACACCGGTTTATTGCGATTGCCCCCCCACACCTCCAATAAATACTTCCCTCTGGCTATCCACGCTTTATTTGGCCATTATTATCACCAGACTAGTGGTCACACATGTTGGCTAAATACTTGTAAACTGACCCTATCAACAATTATATGACCTCTTCATCAACTGACCCTCGTCATTAAGAACGCAATATGTCGATTTAATGAACCCCAGGCTGTCTCTACGATACCCCGCGCATCGATAAGTCAATGAACACGTCAGCCATTTTCTTATCTAGCATTATTTTTGATAATAGTAATTGTTTCATGGCTGACAAGGAAATGATTCTAGTTTTCAGTTTACATGGTTGCGATAATAGATTGTGGAAATGACTAGACTGATGGGATTTGACCCGGATCAGAACAACACCAGAATATACAGACTCCAACATCTTTTAATCCTAATAGTAATTTATCCGACTTTAAGTATCATGTGGGAATTTCTTTTTGAATAGAAATACTCATGAACATAATGAATATTCACTATTCTAATCGTGTATGCTTATGCACATAACCGTAAAGCCCCCCCCCCCCCCCCCCGGACGGGCCTCACACTATGCTCCCACATAACAGTACCGTAAAGCACCCCCCCCCCGGCCGGGCCTCATACTATACTCCCACATAACCGTAAAGCACCCCCCCCCCCACTTAAGCGTTCAGACTTCCCACCCCACCCTTTATCCAATACTGCAGGTTAAACTTCAGTCCTTTCCTTTACTATATATATACTCCTATATCACCGCGTGGCCCCCTACTCTATAGTCCCTGATAACATTGCACCCCCGCCCCCAAACCTTATACTAACAGTTACGTGTGCAGGCCCCAGCCCATACTCTCAAATAACCGTGCATCCAGCCTCTCTCTCTCTCTCTCTCTCTCTCTCTCTCTTCCATATAGTCTAGTCCTTATACAATAGTCTAGTCTAGTCCCCCCTCTCTCTATCTCTCCCCCTCTCTCTCTCTCTCTTTCTCTCTCGTGGAGATGACCACGATGGTTGAAGTCCACTATTCAACTCATTTGTAATTTTGTATTTATGTGGACGCACTATATTATGTTGCTATTATTATCAGCATCGAATTCAACTAATTTAACTCGTGTTTTCTGTACCCTTGAGTTTAAAACTGGAAGCAGCTGTTGGCGTATTCACTTTACATATGTGATGATGGAAGTCGATGGTATGTAAAGTATGTCTACGTATAGAACCCAACAAAAGGAATCGCATTTCACACATCCTATTAAAACACCCCTAGAGAACCGGCTTACTTCACAGAAATTCGATATCCGTTTTCTTTTTTAAGTTATTCTAATGTAATTTACAGATTTCTGTATGTATATATATACATGTACATATATATAGATATATAGTACCACGTGGCAGATAGTAGCACATGTATTATAACTCCACTTTAACTGTGTTATAGTTAAAACTATTTAGAAGCACATGTTTTACCACGTCACTGCTAATGGTGGGAGATGGGGAAATAGGGTTTAACGTCTACTTAAACTGTGTATTAAACTGTGTAGAGGCCCATGTTTTACGACGTCACTGTTGATGGTGGGGGAGAGAGAGAAATGAAATGAAACGGGGTTTAACGTCCTACTGTTCTGCTAAAATACAGAGAGAGGGAGAGAGAGGGGGGGGGGGGGCGGGAGGAGAGGGGAGTTTAACGTCCACTCGACACAGACTAGGTCATTTCGGGGCTAACATATTGTTCAATTCTATTTCAATAATTTGCTTGTGAGTAGCGGTCTTTAGTAGTGAGAGGAAACCGGAGGACTCGGAGAAAACCCACGAGGTTGGACAGGCGACCCTACTCCGTGTCACGTTCAACCGAGGAATCGAAACCACCCCAGTTGAATCAATGACGGGTGAGAGACAAATGGTCTGTCATTGATTCAAATGGTCTGGTTTCGGTCACACGCTTGTCCGTGTCAAGGAATAGGGTCGTGGATTCTCTCGCGGTCCTCTGGTTTCCTTACAATGCTAACCAAAACCATATGTTAGTCCCAAAATTACCTAGTTTGTTTCTAGTGGGACGTGTCTCTCTTTATAATCCAATAGTAGAAGTTAGAAGATAAAAGTAGTGAAGGGAAGCAATCAGTGTATTGATGTAATATTATAAGACCAAGGTAATCAGCTTATCTCTGATTTATCACTTCCCATCGCCATATTTGACCTAATTATTGATCGGACATTAATAATATTCTATACTCACATGCCACACAACAACAATTTGTTAACTAAATGAACCTATATCAGTATACCCCACCACGTGTATAACAGTCGTCACTAAGATGTTTGTGATGGATTAAATGAACGAAAAGACATGTCAGCTCCAACCGGGTTATATGGCACCAGCTGAACACACATAATGATCTGAATCTAGACAAACTAAACAATATCATGACTGGACCAATGATCAAGCTTAGTCTACCCTGCCTCGTAGACGACACCCATCTACTTTTTGTCTAATTCAACGGCCAGGGGTACTTTTATGTACATACCAACGTTCACACGGGCCTTTGGTTTTTCATGCCATCCGAGGGACTAGATGCTGTCGCTTGCCAGACCCTTTGTTGGGCACCTTGTAGGCCGCTGTCTGGGCAAAATTTCCCTCATAGCACACTGTATGGCGTAAGCTCGTCTTCATTAACCCCGTCGAAGCAGAGCAGTAGGACGTTAAATCCCATTTCATTTCATTTTATTCGTCGGGCACCATTGACAAAGAAAATCACCCTTGAAATTTCCGAGGAATTTTCTCGACCAAAACTGGTAAGGAACCCTAAATCTATATAGCTAGATACCGTCCAACTCAATGAACCAGCGTGGCTCTCGTTACGGAAATGAAATGAAACGCCAATCAAAAGAACTGCACAAACAGAAAGTGATTATGTTTCGTTTAATTCAAATCACAGAATCTAATTCAAAAATTCCCCTCTAAACCCACACATCATGGTGTATGTCCGCCTTCATTACCCCACTTGATGCGCAACAGTAGAGCGTTAAAAAGCCATTTCATATCCGCCTTCAAATTAGTTGAACGTTAAACCATATTTCAAGAGAGAGAGAGAGAGAGAGAGAGAGAGAGAGAGAGAGAGATGGGGTTTAACGTCCACTCGCTAGGTCATTTCGGGACTAACATATGGTTCAATTTTATTTCTATAATTCGCTTGCGGGGTCTTTAGCAGTGGGAGGAAACCGGAGGACCCGGAGAAACCCCACGGGGTTGGACAGGCGACCAGGGCTTCTCCTTGTCACGTACAACCGGGGAATCGAAACCACGCCAGTTGACTCAATGACAGACTTTATGATACAGCGCCCACGTGCTAACCATTCAGCCATCCACCCCATCTCATTTCACTTCAAAGCTACCCTCATAACACACTGCTTTAGACCAAAAGATGCAGGGTAGTTGTTAGACATTAAAAATAATTTCATTTTAAAATTGGCATTTCTGGGTGTTGATGTCGGTGCCTTTATTTCAATATGGCACACGTCATCAATTCATTGGCACCGGATTTGCCCCGCCTTTTCCTGTTCTGCATTACGCACCGTCTAACCTTTTGTATAAATATCTTTATAACCAACATATCTTGCTAATTATACGCGGTGTAAATATAGAAACCGTTAGTTCTTTATCATTACAACGACATTATTACAGCTAATAATGTGGTAGACTCTCGTCTCAATGTACTGATGTCTAGCTAAACACAATGCTATTGTCTACTTACGATGCCAATGTTGGTTGGAGAAAGAACCACTGTAGCTTGTTAACATATGACCCAGTGTCTACATCAGAATCCTACTCACGTCTCAGTGTTTCAGCATTATATAGAAGGTAGCCTGGGCATGATTTAATCCAAACGGCAACACAACGTCCATTAAATATTAATTCTGCTAGCTCCACCGTAGATATATAATGACTTTAAGAACTGTAGCTTGGTTGGTCGCACGAAACATCACACTTGTATATAAGAAGCCTACTGGAACAAGTATTGGCCAGTCGTGTAACACATGGTCTTACTTACCAATAGGCGAGCTGAAGAAGTGGTGTTCCCACTACCAGTCGCTTACGTCGTCACAAAATGAGCGTGATCTGATTTCGTCCTGCCAGCGGCTTTCAATACCCGTGGCTTTATTAGAGATTAATGAGTCTGTAAGCCGTAAGGTTGTAATAATCGTTCGGTTTATACACCGCTAGGTTAAATTGTCCTATTGTATTTACGACCAGGATCGTTTGATATGGTTTAAGGTGCTGCGGTAATAAAACAATCGTGGTGATTTTCCAATATATGTGTTAATCGTCTTGGGACCATATGTTACCAACAAAAGGGCGAACTGACACAGGTTTGAGTTAACTTGATGTCGGGCTTAATGTCCGCTTACAACTTAAACAGACAAGGCCGACAATGTCATCATTTGGTCTTTGACGTTTCCAATGAACATTGAGTATCCGATTTAATCTGAATTACGTGGGGGAGCGGGGGGGGGGGGGCTGAATGGTTAGCGTCTGCGCGCTGTATCATAAAGTCTGTCATTGAGTCAACTGGCGTGATTTCGATTCCCCAGTTGTACGTGACAAGGAATAGGGTCGCCTGTCCAACCTCGTGGGTTTTCTCCTACTGCTAAAGACCCCCACGCGCAAGCAAATTATTGAAATAAAAATTAAACCATACGTTAGTCTCGAAATGACCTAGTTTGTGTCGAGTGGACGTTAAACCCCATTTCTCTCTCTCTTTAATCTGAACTACACTGACAAATATTGTTTAGATAAGATAAAGTTTGAAAACTAACTCTAACTGCATTGCGGAGGAGGAGGAGGGGGGGGGGTCTAACTCGTCTCTGTCTTTGGTTAAGTTTTGTCGATTCGAACCGATATTTTTTCATTATGCCAAACGGTGTAGAAACGTAGACTGGTAAATAAATCTCGTTGTATTTCGATGTGTCTACATTCGAGTGTTCCCGGGTTACCCCCCCCCCCCCCCCCACAAACACACATTCTGATTCTAAATACCCGAAAAATACTATTCCCGAAATGAATATTAGCTTGAACGTAGTCAACTGGTTTGGAATATTTTTCTATTCTAGCATGTATAACTGATAAAATCTACAAATTTCGTTATATATCTTAAGGGGTTATCTTCCCTAAAGGGGTTATTCAATTTTCAATAAAAGAATCATCCCTTCAAGGGGTTATCCAGTTTTCAAAAAAAGAATCATCCCTTCAAGGGATGGCCCTTTAATCTATATTTCTAGTCTGCCTGGTATGCATTAATATAAATATTGTTTTGCATTCATGGTATGTAATATGTAAATATTATTATTTCGACTTCCAGACACTCTCATTATAATATGTACATATTGTTTGGAGAGAGAGAGAGAGAGAGAGAGAGAGGGGGGAGAGAGAGAGAGAGAGGGGGAGAGAGAGAGAGAGAGAGAGGGGGAGAGAGAGAGAGAGAGAGGGAGGGGGAGAGAGAGAGAGGGGGAGAGAGAGAGAGAGAGAGGGGGAGAGAGAGAGAGAGAGGGGGGAGAGAGAGAGAGAGAGAGAGAGAGAGGGGGAGAGAGAGAGAGAGAGGGGGGAGGAGAGAGAGAGAGAGGGGGAGAGAGAGATGGGGTTTAACGTCCACTCGACACGAGCTAGGTCATTTCGGGACTAACATATTGTTCCATTTTATTTCAATAATTCGCTTGCGCGTAGGTGTCTTTAGCAGTGGGATGAAACAGGAAGATCCGGAGAAAACATACGAGGTTGGACAGGCGACCATACTCCTTGTTACGTGCAACACATGTGCTAACCATTCGACCATGAGCGACAGAGAGAGAGAGAGAGAGTAATATATGGTTCAATTTTATTTCAATAATTCGCTTGCAAGTAGGGATCTTTAGCAGTGGGATGCAACCGGAGAAAACCCACGGAGTTGGACAGTCACAAATGTGCTGTTTACACAAAGGGAATAGATTAGAATTGATGATATGTTGTATATACATCGACATTTTACTGCGCAATAAAACCGCTACATCATTGGAGGGCGGGATAAAAAAAATGGTACAGCGATATATTCTTAGTTGAGAGTGGACCTCAATTATACAACCAATATTCTGATTCTAGACTGGCTCGCTAGCCTGGAGATCGCGTGTTCGATCCCTGTATTGGCCGTGAAAGTATATCGGGGTTTTTCCGACGTGGTTTCCTCTTGTCAGTGATGCAGGCCGGATGGACTGACAAGGACAGTTGTCTAGTCGTTCGGATGGGATGAAAAACCGAGGTTCCGTGTATATATTGGCGTGCACGTAAAAGATCCCTTGGCAGTTGGAATTCGATATAAGAGTAGGCTATAGTACCGCTGCCCGGGCAAAATTTCCCTCATAGTACACTGTATGGCGTATGCCAGTCTTCAGGAGCAGAACTTACAGTAGGACGTTAAACCCCATTTCACTGCATTTCATTTCAGCAAGTTGAATACAGGAAGGAATTCTAGGCACGACTTACAACCAGTATTTAATTGTACATCTGCGTGCCACAGTATAAATCATTATCAATTGAAAGATAATAATACAGACAGCCTATACAACTGCCACATCAACGTCAAAACCCCATCATGGATCACGTTAAGGCCACTTAGTTAAAGTCGGGAACAGAAATGTTATTTATATAAAGTCTAACCAATATATGTTGAGTGTTTCCAAATGTTATGTTTAAAAACAAAGGGGGTATATAAGTTGTAATTTGATATGTTAACTCTGGGCGTAATGTATTTCTCTATACAGTCGAGGTCGATTTATTACAACAAGCACCTGCAGTATGTTTAATTCATTCCAGATTGTCTATTTTGTTGCCAAACATTTATAAACAGTTTTATAAACAATTTTATATAATATGTCTATGTTAAATGAGTTTCTGTTTACCTACTGAGCAATGTGTGAAGTGTGTGGCTGGAGGAATGTTGAGTTTACAAATTTTATTTGCTTTTAAGAGAGATCGCACTGTTCTTAGTTTTAGGATGCTTTGATTCAATTAATACATAGGTATGCTGAGCGCTGGGCTCGTTTCGGATGTCCGAATGTCTTTATTGTGGACCGAATATTATGAGACATCCATCTAGCCGAATATTTCATACGTATTGAGATATTTAATACATATGAAGCTAGAAATCTATGAGTGGCGAGTAGCCGTCCCATATTCCTTTCATGAAGCGACTATAGTTTCCTTCAGTTCGAGCACATCAGGCTTAAATGAGATTGTTGTTGTTCTGAGTGTTTAACGTCCGCTTCCACCGAAGGTGATATCGCAGACAAGTTGTCTTAATTTCATTTTTATTATATTAGCACACGCGTAGGGGTATTTCCTGTTCCTGTGGGAGGAAACCGGAGTACACGGAGTAAACCCACCAGGTTGAGAAGACGCCCCTATCTCCAAGCCACATACGATCACACCATGGCTTGAAACCACAACCGCAAGCCAGAGGTGACCGGCCAGCTAGAGGTCGAAGCGCGACACTCTAGACCACTAGGCCAACCCCGAGATCGAGCGGATATTCCTTTATATAGTCGACGGGGGCCACCGGAGAACAAAATGAGTCTCGGCTGGACCTTGTTTATTTATTTATATGAATCTTAAATTTGGCGATTGCTTTAAACATTATAAACAAACAGGATTTGACAAACCTCACATAAATTTACAATTCTTGTTTATGTTCAATTAAATAGAAATAAATGCAATGATTGCCTAAATTCGCCGTGGGTATTGATAAACTTTTATAGAACATAAAATCTAATTGAATCACCCAGTTTTAAATTCATTCTCTTATACAGCTTTAAAAACATCCTCACAAATCAAGGGTTCCATGAATTATATTACAACATGTTACTTCTGTGGTTAATAAATCAGTCTGCATGTATCATAGTACACGTACATGGTTTAAAACGAGAGAGCGAGAGAGAGAGAGAGAGAGAGATCTTTAGCAGCGGGTGGAAACTGGAGGACTCGGAGAAAACCCACGAGGTTGGACAGGCGACTCTCCTCTTAATTGTCACGTACAACCGAGAAATCTTACGAAGGATAACGTTGTCGACTGAAATACTATAGGGGAGAGAACTCCAGAAAGCCCGAAGACAATAGCTCAACATTATTTTTCATCAATGATTTAAACTAATTCAATTTAAGTTGTATACCACTGATGGAGCAGTGTTGTGCCAATGATAGGCATCGCAGAGCCTCGTTTAACATGGTGACCAGCCAAACTGTGCCGCCTACTGAGCCCAAAAGTTGAAGACTTGGCGGCAACATACATACGTTTTGAAAATCGCTTTACAAAAGGTTTACAAAATCGTCTTCTGATTGTTTTATGGGTATATTTCTGTCTGCGGGTCAGTCGCAACAGTGTTTTGATCTCGATTTTACAGGGTATCCATGGTTTAACAAGATGCCAAAACTAATAGTGTATCAAATCTCCGAAACTATTTTTAAGTGCTCAGAAATCGAGTCTAAGGGAGTCAATTTTCAACATTTTCTAGGGGACGGCGCCGGCTCTTACTCTGCGGCATCGGCACCAAAGTTTGACCGTGTAACTTTTGAGATGCACAAAATGAAAATGGATTGTTAGCAAGCAAGTAACTAAAACTCACCAAAGTCATGTGGAAAGATCAAATTCAGACCCCCGGGTTCAAATTATCTGCCCATGATGATTCATGGATCCGACCTGTCAATCAACGTAATGATATTGACCAATCAGAAAGCCCGATTATATTTGGCCCGCGTAGGTCAAGTTTGGAGCCCCTTCTCCAAAGTCGTTTTCGTAAGAGACTCGCTGTTTGGCAGAAACGAAACGGCTATTTTATCGTGAATGGTCTCCAACGAATCTGACATGACGTCGGCTGTCGGATACTGGGTCGCCATATTGAACCGCTGATGTGGTCAAACTTGTGGGACATAGTAACAGT